TTTCGTTTTAAACTAAGTTTGCACTTTTTAAAAAATAAATGCTCAAGTCGACTACACCATGAGGAGCTTCCTTTTTTAATTCTCGCTAAACATCGACCCAATGGACACTAATGGGACGTTTGCTGGGACCGCGTATCTGTTTCTCATCTTCCTATTGCCAACAAACAATAATGGTCTGGTGAGTGCGCACCCCAGAGGGGAGTTTGTCGTGAACACATGGTGTAGGAGAAAGACTGTTAAGCACCTTTTGGCGTTTTTTTCTTCAGCAATTTATTATATACTATTGGACTTATTAATATTTTGGACTCACTTTATTATTCATCACTTGTGCATATGACCTTTTGATTAATTTGATACACATTTTATGAATTGATTGTAATAAGGTAAATTTTTTTATTTTATTGCACCTCTGCACTAAGTGAAATTTTGCACTTAATATCTCACTGGCTACCACTATGGTATGGTAGCAGATTATGCACTAAAGGTTTAAACACTTATACTTTGATTAAATAGCACGGATTCAACAACCCATCGGTGACCCCGAGCGCTGCACACTCATTCACATACATTTTTGACCTTAGTGTCCCTAGCGCAGCCACTTTTATATATATTTATATAGATAATATACATCTTAATCCATAAGCGCGGATTTTACATATTCTATGCTCAGATGACCAGGTTTTTTTAAATATGGTTTCACTAACTGCCACCAGGTGGTGCTTGGTAGAAATTGCTTATTTTGCAGGAATCCAGTTATACACACACACACACCCGGCCTTTAGGCGCCCTGTGCGAGAAAGCTTTACAGCTGCCCTCAGTGGCCACACCCCCAGTAACCACACCCATTTCCCCCAATATCCGCACCATTTAAAGACTCCAATTTTGTTAAGCCCCAAAGAAACATATTAAAAAGTATGATAAAATCAAACTTTTATTCAAAGGTATTAAACTTGTCGGCACAATATAAGTATTCTTATCAAATAAAACAGAAGGCAAACAATAAGGCCTTGTTCACACCAAATGCAGACCAGATCCGGTCAGGTTTCTGCACACGCAGTGTAGTGGGTTGTGCCGCGTTTTGGGCCGGTTTTGGTAAAAAAAACAAAACAATTTTTTATACGTTTAACATGGACTTTCAGGCACTTGCATGCGTTTTTGATGCGTTCCAGACCAGATCCAGAGCAGGTAAAATAGGGCTTGCCGCATTTTTTTCATCCGGTCTGGATCCGCACGCTGCGATGTGAACTGGAGGTCAAAATACCATAGGAATACATTGGACGCAGTTTTGATCCGGTCTGCACCTGCTCTGGTCCGGATCTGCTCCGCGCTTGGTGTGAACAAGGCCTTA